CAACATTAGCCACCCTCCAGTTCTCTGCCACCTCTACACCTGCTTGTAGATGATACAAATATTTCCATTAGGGCCCCCACAATTTCCTCCCTAAAGGCCAACAACATCCTGGATCAGGTCCTGGAGATTTATCCACCTGTATGTTTTCTAAGACCTCCAACACTTGCTCTTCTGTAATGTGAACTATTTTCAAATCATCAATATTTATTTCCCCAAGATCTCTAAACTAAATTTCTTTCTCCACAGCAAAAAACTGATGTGAAATATTTATTTAATATCTCTCCCATCACTTGATCTTTAATGCATAAAACGACCTTGTTGATTTTTAAGGGGTTCTATTCTCTTTCTAGTTGCTCTTTTGCTCTTAATGTTCTTGTAGAATCTCGTTGGATTTTCCTTAACCTTATCTGCCAAGGCTATCTCATATCCCCTCCTTGCCTTCCTGATTTCCCTCTTAAGAATGCCCCTACACACTTTATACTCAAGATTAATTTGATCCCAGCAGCCTATGTCGAATATATGAATCTCTTATCATTGACGAGAACCTCAATGTCTTTATTCATCCATTATTCCCTATTCTTAGCAGCCTGATCTTTCACTCTAACAGGAACATAATGCCTCTAAACTCTGAGACCACACAATCCTTTTGGGCAATTTAGCATGGCCAATCCACCTAGCCTGCACATCTTTGGAGTGTGGGTGGAAACTGGAGTACCCGAAGGAAATCATAGAATCACAGAATCCCTACAGTGTGGAAACAGGCCCTTCAGCCCAACAAGTCCACACTGACCCCTGGAGCATCCCACCCAGACCCCATCCCCCTATAACCGACCTAAGCTACACATCCCTGAAAACTATGGGCAACTTAGCATGGCTTATCCACCTAACCTGCACATCTTTGGATTGTGGGAGGAAACCGGAAGAAACCCACGCAGACACAGGGAGAACGTGCAAACTCCAAACAGCCCGCAGGTGGAATTGAACCTGGGTCCCTAGCTCTGTGAGGCAGCTGTGCTAACCAGGTGCTAACTTTTGAAAGCATCCCACTTGTCAGTCTAGTGAAAACAATCCAAATTTGTCCAACCTCTCCTAATAGTTAATACACTCCAAACCAGGCAACATCTTGGTAAACCATCTTTACATCCTCTCTACAAACCCTACACATTTTTCCTATAGTGTGGTGATCAGAACTGCACATGATACACCAAATGTGGCTGAACTAAAGTTTTATGTAGCTGAAATGTGACTTGACAATTGTCATTCTCAGTGCCCTGATAGACGAAGGCAAGCATGCCAAGTGCCTTCTTTACCACCTTATCCACTTGTGTTGCCACTTTCAGGGAGATACAGACTTGCACCCCAAGATCTTGCTGTATATCAATGCTCTTAAGCATCTGGCCATTTGCTGTATACTTTTCTCTTGCATCTGACCACTCAAAATGCATCACTTCACACTTGCCCAGATCAAACACCATCTGCCGCTTCTCCACCCAATTTCCAACTGATCTATATCTTGCTGTGCCCTTTCACAACCTTCCTCATTATCCACAACTCCTCCAATTTTCACATTGTCTGTGAACTTACTAATCAGACCACTTACATTTTCACCCAAATTATTTATATATATTACCAACAACAGAGGTCACAGCACTGATCCATGTGGAATACCTCGGTCTTCTACGACCAAGCCAATTTTGTCTCAAACTTATCAACTCACCGTGCATCCCATGTGACTTGATCATCTGGACCAGCCTGTTATGAGGGAACTTGTCATAGATCCTGTGGACAAACACCCTCCCCCCAAAAAAAAAACAATGCTGGGGGATTATGGAAGGTTTGCAGGCTGGTGGAGATGGGGGACAAGAAAGGAAGACAAAAGTGGAAAAGGAGGAAAAGTACCTTTACTGCAACTACACGGGTGTTGGTCAATGCAAAAGTAACGTACTTACAGCTCTGCAACTGAACCACTAAGTACAAGAGCTAAACCTATCAATTTACAATGTCGTACTTTGTTTGGATCTTAACAAAAAAATGGAAAGCAGCCATGTTATGACAGAGGTGTACTGAAGAAGTGGTTAATCAAATTATTCAATGCTTGGGTACTTGTCCTTTCTTCTCTATGTTCTTGGCCAGAAAGTAGGGCCTTGGCAATTATTCACCAAACTACAGATAAATACTGCTTTTTTTCCTTTACTAAGTGTCAGACATGGAGACAGTCCCAGACTCATTCTCAGTGGGGGTGCAAACAGATGTTTGGTGGCCATAGATTTAACTTTGGGATAATATGTTACCTCTTGGATAATAGGGTTAAGATGTTACTGAACAGCTGCAGGGCATTCTGAAGAGGGAGTGGACAGCCAGAGGTCATGGCCCATATTGGGACCAATGACATGGAGAGAAAGAAAATTGTGCAGGAAGACTTCAGGGAGAGGTGAAAAATTGAAAAACTGGACTTCAAAGTTGGTAGTCTCCTGATTACTCCTAGTGCTATGCAGTTGTGAATATAGGAATAGAAAGACAGAGCAGATGAATGTGTGGCTGGAGAGATTAGGATTTAAAGTCCAACCTTCTGGAGAAGTTGAGAACTGTACAAGTTGGACAGGTTACATCTGAAGAGAAACAGCAGCAACACTTCGTAGATGGTATGCATTAAAGTCCACTACTGAGATTCACTAAGGCTCCTGAGACGGCTGGTTCTAATCCCATAATCACTACCATCTAGAAGGATAAGGGCAGCAGATACATGGGAAATTCACCGTCTGCAAGTTCCCCTCTAAACCACACTCCTCTTGGAAAATATTTCACTGTTCCATTACTGTCACTAGATCAAAATCCTAGAACTACCTCCCTAACAGCATTGTAGGTGTACCTACATCAAATGGACTACAGTGGTTTAAGGCCACCAACTTTTCAATCAAAACTAGGGACAGTCGGCTGTAAAATGTTCACTTAACCAGTGATACCCACATCGCATGGATGAATAAAAAGTGGGTAGAAACCATGTTGTTGTAGTGCTCAAAATTTTAGTTCAGAAGTAGAAAGCCACAAGGGGCAAAACATGAGTAAGGATTCTAAATTTCAGCTACTGTAGGACTGAGAGCTAACACTGGTCAGAGTTCAGAACTAATTGATAAGAGGGACTTGCACGGGTAGAGTCGAGAGAGATTTGGATGAACTGAAGTTTATGGAGTATGAAACAGTTGACCCTGAAGATGGAAATACAGACAGTGAGAGTTCAGCAATAAATAGACACAGTAGGGCGACAGCAGTATTTGTAATAGAGTGCGTTTGAAGCCACAACAGTGGTCACAACACCGAACCTTGTCGCTAATTAACATAAAAGTTTTGGATTCCAAAATTCAAAGCTTAAATTTGCAAATGATGCCCTAGTAGGAGAGACAGGAGAATTGAAGGAAGGTCTGAAAACTACAGAATAAACCAAACAAAAACATGAGCAGGGCAAGAAATACATATAATACAGACTAATGTAAAGTACTTTACTTTGTGTGGAGTTTGCACATTCTCCCCCGTGTCTGTGTGGGTTTCCTCTGGGTGCTCCGGTTTCCTCCCAGTCCAAAAATGTGCAGGGTAGGTGGATTGGCCATGCTAAATTGCCCATCGTGCCCAGGGATGTTTAAGTTAGGTTAGACATGGGAAATTAGGGGAATGGGTCTGGGTGGGATGCTGTTCGGAGGGGTGGTGTGGACTTGTTGGGCCCAAAATGGCCTGTTTCTGCACTGTAGGGATTCTATGATCTATTGCACATAGGAAGGCAGAAGGAAGAACAGGTAACCAAATGACAAATTACATAATCAAGGCAGTAGAATCCAAGCTGAGGAATGTGAGATAAAACCACACAGTGCTTTGCAGAGGCCACAAAGAGACAATTATGCGCAGTAAAGAGCCAAGAGGCTGAACCATGGTGACAGCATCTGGATTCCAAGACTTCTGAGATTTTCAACCAGAGAAAAAAAGCATCTTAGAGGAGCATGCAGAGACATATGACAGTAAGCAGTGTGGGAAAAGTTAATTTTGATAACAATTTTAAATTAAGCCAGTGGGAAGCAGCTAAGGGTCACAGATTCAATAATGCTTCAGACATGGGGAAACTCTTTCAGCAGCACCCACAGAAGGTCATCGATCTGAACGGTTAACTCCTCTTCTCTCTCTATAGATGCTGCCGGACAGCCAAGTACTTCTAGCATTTTGCTCTTATTTCATTTGCAGTATTTTACTTTTGTACGAGCGTTTTTAAAAGAAGGGTCACTCTTTAAATTAGCATTTATTGTCCATCATCTTACAGTCCTTGACGGGGGGTGGTGGTTATCTGCCTTTTCGAATTCAACTGAGCAGCTTGCTATGCCATTTCAGAGGCCAGATAAGAATTAATCACATTCCTACAGTCTGGAATCACATAAAGGCTTGATGTACAGGATACAGAGCAGATTTCCTTCCATTAAGCGGGATTAGTGGACTAATGTTTTTTTTAAATTCCAGATATATCTAATATATTGAACTTAAGTTCCCCAGTTGCTGTAGCAAGATCTGAGCTGCTGTTTTTGGACCATTAGTCCAGGTTTCTGAATTACCAGTTCAGGGACAATCATTATGCTAGTGCACCCACTTACATACTTATTCAATCTGACTGTTGATCACTAAGCAGAGTGGTGGATGTAGATGTGGATACTGGAATGGGAGAAGTTATTCTGGATAGATACACAAGGATACAACTACCTTTTGTATAAATGATGGGAACGATATACCTGAAGGATCTAAACTCAGCAGTAGCATGGATTAGGTTTAAATAGGTGTAAGCAGTAATGTATGCATCCCATTTTACATTCAAACTCGGATCTAACAGATGAAAAAACCAGTGCAGAGTTCTAACACGACACCAAATTTTGCTGAATCAATAATTCAATCCTTATAACTTCCATTCAGTGCTGTGTTCAGTATTCTAGGCTTTTTAAAAGCAGATGAATGCTCACAAACAACATTCAGACGTGGTGCAAAAATATTTTATTGCTAACATATGCAAAGTTTGGTGGTGTGGTATTTACAATCACAGACAGCAGTTTTTATTATTGGGAAGTGGAGCAAATTCAGCACATTTAAATAAATACAGGGGTCTGCCAACGGCAGAAGTTACGAAGTTACTCAACATCTCCTCACTCTCTCACACACAGCAAGATGACACCCCTTCTGCACATACTGGGCAAAAAAAATAAGTACCAACTTTTTCAGATCCTACAGTTTTTATTTTGAGAAACAGAATCCTTTTGGTGGGCTAGTGAGAGAAACTGGAATATGAAACTATCAAAATGACACAAACACACTCCTTCACATCACTCCAGCTCATCATTTTCAAAGTAGTGTAAGCACATTTACTCAAACAACATGTCATTAGTACCGAGTAAATCAGCTATTGTTACTTGCATTTATCTGCACTGGATTCTTCTTAGGAGCATCGACTACTGTTAAAAGGTGAACTTGAAGAGATCCCTTTATTTTGTTCAAGTTTTTCCTACAAGATTACATTTGTAACTGCACAAATGGTCAAATTGCAATCTTATTTCACTTGCCTTCTGTCGTCTGGTGATCACTCAAGTTTTCAATGCCATTAGTTCACGTCAATATTATAAAAAGTCACTTGATTACTACATAGAATACAATAAAAGTCTTGGTGTACTTGTTATGCACAGGAACAAACAGTGCCAGAAGAATAAGGAATAGCAAGTGCTCACCAAAAGATAGATCAATTAGGCTTCTGGTTTAAAGTCTGAATATAGATTAGTGTCAAAGAAAGATTAACAGTACATGTTGTTTGCTTATACTTCTGTCATATGCTGGCAGTTCCTTTACAATTTTCAGTCCAGAGTCACTGTAATGTGGGATAGGTGTTCCTCACCAGTGGCTGTAGAAATGGCATGAGCAATAGTATCAAAATGAATAAAGGTCCAAAATCACAACCAACCTTACCTAAAAAGTTTTAAAAGTTTTAAAGTTTAATTCCAGCCCTAGTTAATGGGCTTACAAAAAAAAACGCAAAACAATTATTATGGAAGGTTGTGATAATTTTAATAAGATTTGTTTGGTGTGGGAGGGGATGGAGAAAAGAGTATTTTGCAGACTGGTAAAATGGGACACTCTAACTTGTACCTTCTGCTCCAAGAATTCAACATCCAGATCAAACTTCAACTTTCAGTCCAATAAACAAAATTGAAAATACATAAGCATCCCTTCTCTTGTGGTTATATACAAGTAGTGTCTTTCATACTTTTTTCTCTAAAAAGGATTTCCCATTTTGTTTACACAGTAGCTTATACAGCAGTGTATATAAATCAGCTTTACAGACTGTGTGAGGGACAACAAGAACCCCAAACATTGAAACAAAGAAGCCAATCCCTATGTAGTATTTACAGTTAGAGATCGTAATAAGAGTAATCTGCAGTGCATGGAGCTTAAAGTAAATGCTAGAATTTTATAATAATAATCTAAGGGAAATTAGGTGTGTGGGTGATGTGTTTGCTTTATTAAAATACAGCTTCTTTATCACAGCTGCAGCAAACCCAAAGCTCACAAAGGGTCATCTTTGAGCTGCAATTTTCTGCAGGGACAAGGTGCTGGTCTTGAACATGCAAAGGAGCTCTTAAAATTCTTTTGTCTCCTTATTTTCAAATAGATGAAACCTCTGTTGAACAGTAAGTCCTTCTTTGAGACTCTGAAAGGAAGCCAGGAAAAACCACAATCAGTGCAGCACACAAAGACATAAAACTGAAATAATCAAGGTTTCTACACTCTTACCAGCGTTCAATTACAACTTGCCTAGCAACAGGACAGGGAGTAGACAAAAATCATAAGTTTAACATTTAATAAGTAACATTCTAAAAAAAAAAATCAATTCTACTGTACCTGTTCTCACTGATGCTTTCAGATTCTAACTGTAGCACATGACTTTAAAAGCCAGCTCTTAAATGCTCTCAACTCCCATTGTTTTTAAATTATAGTCTGGATCAATTCAAAGATGTGAAGTATTTGCATCTTTAGTATCAAGGTAAAATGGTTGGCCCTTATATACATTTTAACAGGAAACATATTAGACTTGTAATATTCTTGTAATTTTGAGAAAGGGCTGATGAGGTTCCAAAAGTCAATTGGCCTGATTTATAAAGCAGAGGCTGATAAGGTAACTAACAACTGGTAACACACAGAGGTTGGAATTCACAAGTAACAAATAGCTATTTGACATACAGAAACCATCAAATACTGTAGAAAAACAACAGTTTAATTGATGCACATTTTCACAAAAAATGTTGCATTGCATCTAATTCATATTGCACAGAAAATGTAGCAAGATTATTTTGTGCATTAAATGATAAACTGAACATTCAGTAAACAGTCAACAATACCATACATGCGTATATACAGGCACAGGAAGGACAAAGACAATGAAAGCTGCAATTAAAATAGGCACCACACAACTGCAACAAAATAAGCAACAAGGTTTTGGTTGGTAATGTCCCATTTTGCGTTCAACTCAAGGTCCTGTTACTAAACTGTTTCATCTGAGATCCAGGATGGTATGAGCAGGAATTTCTTCCAATTATAATGATTTAAGTCTTCCCAATATTTTTGGTCCCACTTCATTCTTTAGCTAATAACTCCAGTCCTTCCAAGGCAACAGGCTGACACTCAGCCAGCCTGGTCATAACATTATTGTTATATATGACCCCGAGTTGGGCTGCTGGTCTCCTTTCCAGATTATCACTAAAACCTCTAATTTCCATCTTTGGAAAAATTGCTAATTTACCCTCGAGCTCAGTGAATCTACTCCCGAAACTCTTGTTCCTGCCTTCATTAACTTCAAAGTCAACTTTTCCAATGCACCCCTGATTAGTGTCTGACATTCTACCCTATATTAACCTAATGTCTGCTGTCTATCTAATCTCACAGCAACTCCTGTCCACCTATCACCCTCTATGCTTGCTGATCTACACCGGCTCCCATTAAAGGAATATCTTGACTTTGAAACATTAATCCATTTTTCCCCAAATCCCTCCAAGGCCTCGGTGCTTCCTACCTCAGGTAGCTCCTCCAGCTTCACAACTTTCCAACGTATCAGCACTTAACCAATCCTGGTCTCCTTAATATTGTAATTTAATTCCCCACCGTTGGTGGCCATGCCTTCTGTTATTGAGGTTCCAAGAGCTGGTATTTCTTTCCTAAACTTCTATACCACTAATTTGCTCTCATCCTTCAAGAAACTCCTTAAAACCAACATTACAGGCCAAATCTGTGGTCATCTAACCTAACAGCCAACAGAGGAGATGCCTCATTTTTAGAATAGTAGCTATCATATTTGGATAAATTTTCTAAACGTCTTAAGTCTTAAGCAAGCAAGCAGGTGACTGGATGGGGTGGGGTGGGGTGGGGTGGGGAGCGGAGCGCAGGTATTTGAGTAAAGAGGGCTGTTGGGCCTGGTTGGGGTAATTGAGTCTTTTGGGATAAACTAGACTACATAAGATATGGTCCCGAGGGAAGGGTAATCAGATCAGGAATAATATGCTTGGCTTGCAGTTGGTAGTCGTGAGGGTTAAGTTATGGTGCACAGTTCAGTTATGGTAGTTAATCTCTCATTTAGACCAGTGACTAAACAGTGCAACATTTTCAGGGCAAATATCTAGGTGAGTGCTATCCACCCAGCTAACCTCTCCAATCCTGATCTCAGGTTTGGAGACTTTAGTGGAGAGTTCAGCTCATTGGAAGATTAAACTTCCCAGGCAATTAGAGCACGGCTCTGTAGGATCTTGACAGGCAACGCAGCCTCAGATCCAGATTTCACTCCATAGAAGTTTCCAAGATTCAGACAGACAGTCACCTTGTGTAGTTTGGTATCACAATTAATTTACAATGCAATGAAGCACCTAAGGATGTTTTGTTATCTTAGTTAAATTCTTTTTCTACTCTGTAGGACTCTATTCGGTCAATAACGTGCACGGTCAGTGTGAAGAAGTCTTCAGTTGAATGAGACAAAGGCAAAATGAATGAATTTGGTTCAAGTGGGACTTGAGGGGGTGGGGGGGCAAAAGGGATATAGGTGCTATAATAAAGGTTTGCTGCAAGGGAGAAATGCTCCTGAACAACTTAGGAGGTTTATAAAATCATGGAAGGCAGAGATAAGGTGAATAGCAAAGAGCTTTTCTCTAGGCTGGGGGAGTTCAAAAACTAGAGGGCATATTTTTACGATGAGAGGCGAAAGATTTAAAAGCGATCTGAGAGACAACATTTTTGCACAGAGGGTGGTTTGTATGTCGAATGAACGGTCAGATGAAGTAGTAGATGCAGGTACATTTAAAAGACATTTAGACAGGTACGTGAATAGGAAAAGTTTAGAGGGAAATAGGCCAAATGCAGGTAAGTTTAGTTTGGGAAACTTGGTCAACATGGATGAGTTGGATTGAAGGATCTGCTTCTGTGCTGTCGGACTCTAAGAGGTGAGGAGGAAAGGACTAAAAGGCGTGGATAGGCAGGACTGCCTGCAGCAAGATAAACAGGCAAGAGCTACATCACAAACTACACAGTGACATTCTTGCGGGGAAAGAAAGTGAGTAGGATTGGTGACTATTTCTGAAAGAGTAGTCTTTAGATCTCCAGTGCTTTTCTTCTCTTTCCCTTAAGAAATACTTGGTTAAGTAGGAGATTCATATTGATGACTTTTAAAAATAAAAATTATTACAGTAGAGTGTAAAGAAAGGACTCTGAACCAATTAACTTATAAATTAAATCAGTACGTAGCAATGGTAGGACAAGCTACGTGTTGCTGCTGCAGCATGTAGAAACTGCTGGACACCAAGGTGATCCAGAGTGAACACACTTCATGTTAAAGTGTTTGCAGCTCGAGGAACTTCAAATTGGAGTTGAAGAGCTAGAGTCTGAGCTGCAGACACTGCATCATATCAGGAAATGTGACCTGGACATTTTGCTTCAGAGGTAGTTACACCACTCAGACCAGGTAACTCACATTTGTCTGTAATTAGGGATTGGAGGGTGTTACTGCAGTTGGGGCTGGTGTGGGACCCCAGTGGGTTTCATTTGAGGAGCTTTGTCACCTGCATTCGTCCAAATGTTACAAGGTTCTTGCAAGCTGTATGGATGAGAGTGGGAATTGTAGGAAGGTTGAGAGAACTAACCATGTGGTACAGGGAGTCATTCAAGTTGAGGGGAAGGAAATAGGAATGTAATGGTGGTTGGGGTCAGTATAATTAAGGGATAGATACTGCTCTTTGCAGCTGAGAGCTGGAAGGTTACATCGACTGCCCAGTGCCTCAGTTTAGGGCATCTTCTCAATGTTGGAGATTAACTCGGGTGTGAGAGGGGAAGGATCTGTTGCTGTACTTTTTGGTACCAATGACATTGATAAGATTAGAAAAGTTAATTCTGCTGAAAGAATTTGAACAGTTAGGAGCTAAATTATAAAGTAGAACCCTCAAAGTAACAAATCTCTGGGCTCCTACCCAAATTACTTGCAAACTGGCATAGGATAAATAAAGTCAATGAGTTAAAGGCATGGCTGAAAAGTTCATGTAGGTGGAATGGGTTTCTGTTCATGGGACATTGGCACCAGTACTGGAGTAGAAGGGAGTGGCTCTGTAGGAGGAAAGGATGGTGGTGTAGCTTTGGTACTGGCTGGAATAAGTCTGATGGTAAAAGATGATCTCTGATCAGAAGATGTAGAATCCATAGGGTGCAGGTAAGAAATAACTAGGGGAAGACGACACTGGTGGGAATAGTCTATAGGCCTGGCTTCCTAATAGTAGCTATAAAGGGAGAACAGACAATTGATCAGGAGACAATGAAAATATGTGAAAAAAGCAGTACATTAATCATGGGTGACTTTAATCTTCATGTACACTGGTAAAATCAGATTGGTAGAGGTGGTCACAAAGAAGAATTCAGAGTGCATTCAGGACAGTTTCCTAGAAAACTACGTTGTAGATCCAACCAGGGAGCAGGCTATTTTGAATCTGGTGATGTGTAATGAGGCAGGTTCAATAAATGACTTCAGAGGAAAAGATCCCCTAGAAAGTCGTGACTATAACATGGTAGAATATAGCATTCAATTTAAAAGGGAGAAACTTGGGTCGGACACAACTGTGTTAAACTTAAATAGGGACAATTACATAGGAACTAGATAGAGTGGGGTGAGAAATCACAGCAGCTGGAGTGGACTGGGAAAAGAGTTTAGCAGCAAAGATGGTTGAGGAACAATGGTAGATGTTTAAAAAAAAATGTTCATGGCTCATAGCGAAGATGGGAAAGAAGGATTAATCATAATTAACCAGAGAAGTTAAGGGTAGCATCAGCTGGAAGGAAAAAGAATATATAATGTGGCAAAGATTACTGGTAAGCCTACTTCTGATTCTATGCCTTATGAACACATTATTCCAGCTAAAAGGATTCACTTTCAAATCACCCGGTTGAACAGAAACTAGTTGAACTTCCAGATCTGTAAAATGATGGCTGAGAAGAAAGTTAAGTATTAATCAATTTAAGAAAAACACTGATGGTGAAGTGTACTCATTTAAGATAGATTAGTAAAGAAGATAAATATTTCCCAACATTACTCACAATGGCAACAGCAAAACAGTTTTGTCGCAGTGATCAATAGGGGATCTGATGCAAGATAAAGTTTTGCCAATGACCCAATTAAATCTCAATTCTGAAACCTGAACCTTCTCCCAAAGTATCAGAATGGCATTTCAACTTCTGGCATTAACGACCCTTGGTCAATATCAGGTGAGATTGCCTCTTTATGACCAATTGGATTCAATAAATTCGTACTCAGATTCAGATTGCTCAAACTGTAATGAGGGGATGAGATATAATCAGAGTAGAATTCAACCCACAAATTTTCAGGATAACCTTGTACTTCATAGCATTACCAGTCTGCCAGCTGATTTGATTAGGTTGTTTAAGCATAACATCACAAATAATATTTATAAAGCTCAGGTATGGTAAAAAAAAAATAGCTGACAACTCCACCATATTTAGGTGGAAGCAGACTATGCGAATTTTGAAAAATCTAGACTATCAATATGTAAAATAGCTACGCAGCAATCAAAACATTACTTAAGCTGCAGTTTTGTGGTAAATGCCAATGAATTATACAACATGAATGCAAATAAAAGCAGAACAGTGGATGCTGGAAATCTGAAACAAACTGAAAACGCTGGAGAATCTCAGCACGTCTGGCAGCACCTGTAGAGAGAGAAACAGAGTTAATGTTTAGAGGCCAATATAACTCTCATTCAGAATTAGTGTCATATTGGACTTAAAACGTTAATTCCGTTTCTCTCTCCACAGATGCTATCAGACCTACTACGTTTCTCCAGCATTTGTTGTTTGTAATGTGAATGGAAATCCTCCATTTGATAAACTAGCTGATACTCAGCAAAGTGGAACATGCACTTTGTGTCCCTGGTTGATAGAATAAGAGAATTAATTTTGTAGCACAGCATTGGACAAGCATGCACAAACCAAACAATAACATTAATATTCATACACCTACAGTGTGAAACAACTGTGCCACAGCATTGTACTTATTTGCCAAACTAATTGGAAAGAGACAACATACAAAGTCAACATAAAAGGAACAAAGACCAGGCGAACATACTAAATTTCCAATGCTGTTGTTAGGTCACAATGGCCAAAAGTCTTGTATTGACCTATCTTCGGAACAATGGAACAAGAGTCGGCCATTCAGCACCTCAAGCTTGTTTTGCCATTCAATCATCAAGTCATGACTGATCTGTATCCTAACTCTATTCCTGGATCAATGGTCTTCAAAATATTTACTCCAAACATTTATTGATCATGGATTTAAAAATTATCAATTGACCTGGCATCTACTACTTGTTTTGGGAGAGAGATTCATAGAGTAGAAACTTATTTGAAAAAACCTTGCAATAAAGAAATCAGAAAAGACACTTCTACTTAAAGATTCCCACAATTATTTTTCCACGAGGTGATCCACTGCACAAGCTGCAGCACTCTTCGTTTTGGATCATGTCATTTATTAAGGCAGATTGGTGCGGTTGTTGTGCAAAAATTAAGCAGGCTTTACATGAATTTTGAATGTATGGCTTATCTTACTCTTTGAAAATATGCATGCAGAAACAACAATAACAGATTTAATTCCATAAAGGCCAGAGCAGAGTCCAGGACACAAACCCAGACAGATACCAGTGCATGTCCATACAGAAAAAAGCCCAAATCCCAAAGTGACATGCCTTCACTCAGTGACAATAACCAATGGTTTACCTAAAGGGAAGGTGTCAATCATCAAGCAGCTCTAGCTGTCCCATGCCAGCGCTTTACTCACAGACTAAAGGATGAAGAAGAGGAGCAAAATGAAATAAGGTTAGAAAGCAAAGCATCACTATTAACCTATGAACCACAGACTAATATTTCTGGTTGAATACTACTCAGTATTAAGTAGTTTATCTCAAGAGGAAATCTGTGAAAAGTAATTGACACAGACTAGTGTGTTGTGTGGTGCTTCCATGCAAGCTGATCTGAGTGACTTTATTCATTTTCTTCACAAGCAAAGTAGTTACATTTTTAAAAGCAAAAATCACAAAGTCAAATCAATTGTTCCCTTGCACTCTCTTCAGTGATTTTACATCTCAGATGTGGCCAGAGTTGAATCATTGATAACTTCAATGTACAGATCTCAGAATGGGGAAATATCAATATTTTTGACTTTGCTCAACGTCTTTAGAAGACATACCATACATATAAAATTTTAATCTTTAATGATTTCCTATTGTAATTTTCTCTTTGGAAGAAAATCTGCCAGCAACCTCTCGAAATGTGGACAAGCTGCTTTCCTATTTTCCAAATGCAATTCCATCATTGGATATTGTTAATTTAATCCTAACATAACTCCGCTTAAATTTTCCTTTCACTTCTCAGATGCTGCCATGTAACATCAGATATTCCCTACATGGGGGAGTGTGTTCTTTGCAGTATTTAGAAAGAGCCATTTTCAGAAACATGCATGTCACTTTTTAAATTTTACTTCTAAAGTTATAAAGGTATGAGAGGGTGACCAGCCCATCTTACCCGGAAGGCCGATACCATATTGGGGTGGGGCAGGGAGTCAGCACCTTCAGTTTGTAAGATGGAAGGAGGAGAAAGTTGTCAAAAAGGACTTGCACTTTTACATCAAAAAAGGCACTGCTTGTAATACAGGAAGTTGGTGAGATTTTTATTTTCACATCAGCAGGCCTTATCAGATGAGGTTCCTTTACATTTGGTGCATTATTAAAAATTATATGAAACTAACATGAATTTTAAGTAGGCAAAAATTATAACTGGTCATTGCTGTAATTTGCCTGGATTTTTAAAATTGTTTTAATATGAACTCAACATTCTACCTCTAAGATCAGCTTAGCCTTGGAACAGTTTAGTATGATGTGCATTTGTTTAAAAATAAAACAAATAAATGATACGCAGCTTGACTTGGTAGCTTACCTTACGATGAAATACCTAAAAATGTGAACACAAGTAACTCAAAAACCCATAAGACAAATCTTTAATACTGGATTGCTTTATCTAAGCTATGCACCAAGTCAAGGCAAATTTTGTTTCACAACACCGGTTAAGATCGCGTACGTGCACATATGCAAGAGCTGGAAATTTTTTTTTTTTGATGGCAGAAAGGTTAACGCTCCATATTCTAAACCCTTCTATCTAAACCAGAGTCCTTTGCTGTTCTCCCAAAGCTGATGACTAAAGTTGCGGAATGCTTTCCATAGATGCCTGCAGATCTCAAAATCTTGCCCAAATGGATATTTCCATGTGAAAAGCTGATGTTCACCTATTGTCAGTAGACTAATGTACAACAGGTGTTAAGACACAGAGTCCAATCCCATTCCGCACTCAATATCTGTGACAATGCACTTTCCAGCAAATGCAGTGATGACCCCATAACTGAGAATCACAGCTAATTTTTTAAAATCATTCCCTACATAGGTATGGTAAATGGTATTTTCAACACCCTTTCATAAACTAAGCCAACAGGACAGTTACATGAATACTTCATTGCTACAGGTGGTTTCTTGTGCACTATTTGGAAATTGTTCTGACAGTGAAGTGACTATAGTCTCTGCTATATCTACACCCGGGGTATAAAACTTTGCAGAAACTATACAAAGCACCTAATTTAGTTCTGTTTCGCACATTGAGCATATTTATTATTTTAGATGAGGTAGTACACAAGGAAGGATTTAGTTTTTCAGGTCAATTTGTGAAAGATAAAACTAATAAATAAATCATTATGCTAACAGAATTTAACATGCAGGAATTTCTTCCTTTCCACGGGGAGTATACCTGCATGGTGGAGACTAAGTGCCTTAACTGGAAAAATGAAAGGGTGTCTTAATAGAACACATATCTTATTCAGGATATATACATAAGTACTTGACATTAGTGGCATTACTGCAGTTTAGCTTGAAGGAGAAAGAATGTTTGCCAGATATGTCAAACAATCAAGAGCTTACCTTTGACCTCTGTGTTCGATCTGCTCGTTTCGCTGCAGCTGCCATCTTTAGGATATCTGGATTGCTTTTTGATTTCATTATATCTGAGAAAAAGTATTACATTTTTTAAAAATTGATCTTGATCCAAAACTTAATCTTAGGGAGCAAGTTCAAAAACACTTTTATACATCGAATTGTCATTTCCAATAAGAACAGCTTACAACCAATTTTACTTTTCAGTCAAAACGATGCCAGTGATAGTCTAATTTTTAAAATGCATTCATGGAATGTGGACATCACTGGCTGGCCAGCATTTATTGCTGGTCCCTGGTTGCCCTTGAGAATGTGGCGGCGAGCTACCTTTTTGAATTGCTGCAGTCCACGTGCTATAGGCTGACCCACAATGCCCTTAGAAAGGGAATTCCAGGATTTTGACCCAGTGACAGGGAAGAAACGGCAATTTATTTCCAAGTCAAGATGGTGAGTGACTTGCAGGTGGTGGCGTTCCCATCTATCTGCTGCCTTTGTCCTTCTATAGATGGAAGTGGTCATGGTTTGAAAAGGTGCTGCTTAAGGATCTTAGGTGAATTTCTGCAGTGTATCTTGTAGATACTGCAACTGAGCATTGGTTGTAGGGGGAGTGAATGCTTGTGGACGTGGTGCCAATTTAGTGGCTACTTTGTCATTGATGTTGTCAAGCTTGACTGTTGTTGCAGTTGCACACATCCAGGCAAGTGGGGAGTATTCCATCACACTCCTGACTTGGACTTTCAGATAGTGGAAAGGCTTTGGGAAGTCAGAAAATGAGTTAATCACTGGGGTATTCCTAGCCTCCGACCTGCTCTAGCAGCCATTGTGTTTATGTGGTGAGTCTAGTTGAGTTTTGGATCAATGGTAATCCCCAGGATGTGGATAGTGGAGGATTGAATATCAAGGGGCAGTGGTTAGATTGTCTCTTATTGGTGATGGTCATTGCCTAGCAGATGTTACTTGCCACTTACCGGCCAAAGCCTGAATATTGTCCAGATCTTGTTGCATTTGAAGATGGACTGCTTCAGTATCTGAAGAGTCGTGAATGGTGCTGAACATTATGCAAACATCAGCAAACATCTCCATTCTGACCTTATAGGGAAGGGAAGACTATTGATGAAGCAGCTGAAGATGGCTGGGCCTAAGACACTACCCTGACGAACTCCTGCAGAGATGTCCTGGAGTGGAGATAACTAACTCCAATAGCCACAACCATTTTTCTATTTGCCACGTATGACTCTAACCACTGGAGAGTTTGCCCTGATACTCACTGATTCCTGTTTTGCTAGGCATCCTTGAAGACACTCTCAGTTGAATGCAGCCTAAATGTGAAAGGCTGTCACAGTCCCCTCACCTCTGGAATTCAGTACTTTTGTCCATGTTTGACGCAAGGCTGTAATGAGGTCAGGAGCGAGTGGTCCTGGCTGAACCCAAACTGGTGTTAGTGAGTAGTTTCTGCTTGATAGCAATGTTGGTGACACCCTCCATCACTTTACTAATGATCAACAGTCGACTAATGGGGCAGTAAATGGCCAGGTTGGATTTGTCCTACTTTTCACATTAAGGACAAATCTGGGCAGAAATCATACTGTAACAAAGTCACAGAAGTGTTTGGCTGCCTTCTGCATCATTTCAGCCCAACATGCCTGCACCAGCTTGTGAGCATCATTACCTAGCCTCCTACTCCTACTCCTACTCCTACTCCTACTCCTACTCCTACTCCT